CACCCTATGCATACAAGACTGCACACATTTGATCTGAAATGCTGGGAATCTTGGTTCTGAATCTCCCCTCAAGATGTTTATTTATGTGGGGTGGCCCCACATACTTTTAGAAACATGTTTTCACTTCTAGCAAGCTACCTCTTGCATGGATTCCTGGATATCATGAATTCCAATGTATATTTTAGGTTGTGAAAAAATTACACAAGACACTAAGACAATTCATCTACAAATTAAATAATTTAAATGGGTGAACAATCTCTTCCAGTGAAAAATAGCATATCGTAAGGATCATTTTCAAGAACAAGCAACATCTAAGACAAGGGTGTCAAACTGCTGGCCCGTGAGCTGGATGCGTCACGCAGAAGCCGCGCCCACCCCAGCTCTGGCAAAGGGGGAAAAGGTTGAGATACGTCGCGACACATTACGTGATGCGGCAGAGTTTGACACCCCTGATCTAAGATATCCAGTAGGCTTTACAAATGTACTAGTATTGTACTACCACGTTGTCACTATTTTCTGATACTATTAATAAGGAGTTCCACCAACTAATCAGTTGAAATGTGGACACAATTAGAGGCAAATGAGGATACTTGGACAGTACTGTCATTCAGTGAATGTGGGCTTAAATATGACATTAGATAAATTTTAGTCTGGGATTATCCTACCCTCTTAAGAGACTGGAGCCTCAATCCATCTTCTAACAGGTAGCTCTCAACTTATCACTATAACTGGGATCAGATTTTCCATCACTAAGCTATGGAGTCGTAAAGCATAATGTCACATGACTGCATCACTTTACAACAGCAATACCAGCAGTCCTGGTTGCTCCAGATGTATGGGTTGTTAAGTGGGAAGCAGGGGGAGTCCATAAAGAGGATGGGGGTGCTGCAAGAGGGTGGAAGAAGCCTAGCACGGGCAAGCCATGCATGAGCTCAGGGAGGTCGGGGAGAGAGCGTATGGGGTTTGTGAACACATTTGTGCAAGAATAGGGAGGCTGGGGATGGAATAGGGTGTGGTTCAGGAGACTCTGGGTCTGCAAGAAGCTCCTGAGCCACAGGGCAAAGCCACAGTCACCCCTGGAAGCCTCAGCTGACCCAGCCCAGTATGCTACGCAAAACCATTATGCTAAGGGAAGTGCCAAGAGCATGATGCAAAGCCACAGAATTCCAGGAAGCGTCAACAGCATGGGGCAAAACTACTGTGCCCCAGAAAGTGCCCAAGATCCAGCCACAGTTGCCTTTGCCACTCTGCATTCCAAGCCCAACTCCACCCTTCAGTCTGCTGCACCACAGAAAGTGCCAACAGCATGGTACAAAGCCACAGCGTCCCAGAAATCACCCCTGCTGCACAGCTGCCCCTGAACCCCGCCCACAAAAAGAACTAGATGGGTAGGGGGGAGGTGAAGCAAATCCTGAGGTTGTAAGTGCAGGCAGGCTGCCAAGTCCTATAATCTGATTGTGAAGTGCTGCAACAACCGTAATTGTCAGGTCCCCAAATAAATGTATTCCTTCCTTTCTTATAGTATACTTGCTTTTGTAACCATTTTTGGGGGCCTGCCATTCTGTTGGGAGGGGGCAATGGTGGGATTCAGCCGGTTCACACCACTTCAGCAGAACCGGTAGCTAATTTTTTGTTGTCCAGGCCCAAAATGGACTTCTGGAAGTGGAATCTACACAGATAATTGGTTGTTCACAAATTTGAATCCCACCACTGGGAGGGGGGATGTCTTGGGGATGCTTTGTACTGTCTGGCCACTATGCCCTTCCCCCAGGAGAAAGAATGCATCATCCTTATCCAAGAGATGGTTGGCACTTGGAGCCAGAAGGAAATGAAAGCAAGAGAGACCTTGAAGAGCGAGCCATCAGAGACAGTTACCAAAACATTATGCCACCTGTAGATTGGCTGGAATTCAAAAGAAAACTGGGACTGGGGGAGGTGGAAGAGTAATGAATAGTGGCTTTAATAAACTGCTTGCATGGATTTTACCTCAGATCTTGCCTTTTCTCTGCTATCACTAGCCCCTAATAAAAGTTCTTTTTGAGACAATGCCTGTTTCAAGAGTTCTGCTTTCTTGGGTGGCTTAGCTGAGGTAGGTCCTTACAGTAACTTTGGGGACTGATTAGTCAAGTCACTTTTTCAGTGCTTCCATCACTTCAAATGAGTGCTGAATGAATGGTTGTAAGTTGAGCATCGCCTATACTGTCTTAACATTAAAAGAAACATTTTTTACCCAGGGCTTAGAAAGTATTTCGCTTATCTTAGTTTCACAGGGGGATTCTTGGCTTTCTTCATTTTTCCAAAGTTTGCTTGTTTCTGCTGAGTACTATATAAGTGTGGCACAATATTCAGGTTTGCTGCTAATGCTGCCTTAATTCTTGAACAGGCTGTGGCCTCCTGAGCCCCTTTTTTGCATTCACTAATGCTTGTATGAACTTAAGTGAACTCCAGATGGTAGAGGACAGGAAGGCCTGGAGGAACGCTGTCCATGGGGTCACGATGGGGCGGACACGACTTCGCAACTAACAACAATGCTTGTAGTATGCCTAGACCTGTCACTTATTCCATCTCTGCCACCATCTGCCAGAACTCCTTATAAGTAAGACGGCATTTTTAAAGTTTCTGAAGTCTCTCTGATCTTTGGGTTTTTCTTTGGATGGCCATTGCTCCCTTTGATGCCCCTCTTCCTACTTCCATGCTGACCAATGCAGATTCTTACATACTTGCTCTCAAGAAGCGTAGGAGTCAAGTTGCAGATGCTCCTAGGACACAGGTCGGCAACCTGCGGCTCCGGAGCCGCATGCAGCTCTTTGAGCCTTCCCCTGTGGCTCCCAGCCTCCTCTGCCATTTGCAGAGACAAAGACAGAGAGGCACTTGCACTTCCCTGCTTCTCTCTTTGTCTCTGTCTCTGTCTCTCTCTCTCTCTGTGTGTGTAAAAGAGAGTAGACTCATAGTGTTCTCTGAGGAGCTGAAAAGCTTTTGGGGTAAGGCTCCTCCCTTTGCTGCGTCTCTGCAGGAAGCAGGAAGGTCAGGAGAGAGCTAACTAGCCCAGCTATGCTGACTCAGGAATTCTGGGAGTTGAAGTCCATGAGTCATAAAAAAGCCGAGGTTGCCTACCCCTGAGCTTGTTGGAGAACAGCTTGAAGCCAGCTTGGCAGGTGAGCAGAAGATTGGAGAGAGGGAGGAGGAGAGAAAGAGAGAGGGGGGGGGAAGAGGACTGGCAGACCAAGTGCAGAAAGAAAGAGAGAGAGAGGGAGGGAGAGAGAGACAGAGAGAGACCCTTTTGATATCTAAAATGAAGATAATACTGCATATATCCTTTTTTACCTTTATGAGTAAAAAACATGCTCCTAGATTGGAGCTAAATGCAGAACAGACTGATTTATAGTTGGTAGACCGGGTGCCTCACCCAACAGATAAGATATATATATATATATATATATATATATATATATATATATATATATATATATATATATATATATATATAGATATATATCTATATGCATATATATATGCACATATGTATATATGCATATATATAATGCTATATATATATATATATATATATATATATATATATATATATATATGCAGTGTTATCTACATTTTAGATATCAAAAGGGCTCCCAGTGTTTTGTTTTTGGTGGGAAACGGGTCCAAGTGGTTCTTTGAGTTGCCTACCCGTCGTAGGATTTTTTTTCTAAATGCCTATGTGCCTATAGCATCACACCTGTCAGTCCACCAAGAAGGGGTAGGGAGAGAAAAAAACCCAACAAAATCATGCCAAGTCATAATGTGGCATATTTGGTTTTTAACACAGTGTAAAAGTGTCAATCCAATTGCTCACATAGGTAGGCAATTTTTCCCCTTGATGTCTTCTTTAGCAATTACAGTGGTACAAATTATGCAGATGCATAGAGGCAAGCTGTGGTAGAAAAAGTATTCACAGTGGTTTACCCACCACTCATATGTAATATTAGGCTGAAGATTTAGATACTGAAAGAGCGGAGGTGGCGCAGCAGTTAGAGTGCAGTACTGCAGGCCACTTTAGCTGACTGTGTTCAGCGGGTCAGCGGTTCAAATCTCACCGGCTCAAGGTTGACTCAGCCTTCCATCCTTCCAGGGTAGGTAAAATGAGGACCCAGATTGTTGGGGGCAATGTAAATATATATATATACATTGCTTACTGGTGTACACCGCTTAGAGAGTGCTTGCACTTAAAGCGGTATATAAGTCTCATAAATAAATAAACAAACTGACATTGGGAGGAAAAAAATCACTGGAAACCCTCTTCCTTTTTTATTGCACTTCTAAAAAGACCTGGATTTTCAACGTGCTTGCCTAAAAATTATTACCAGCTGTGAAAAATGGCCAGCAAAGTTTACCTGTATGCAAACATCCTTAGTTAAGCTGGTATTACTCTTGTAATTACATCTATACAGTTGTATGCAAAAGTTTAGCTTGATCAAACTGTGTTTCAATGAAGCCCTAAGTGAACAGAACCTTTACATAGTACAAAATTTTCTCTGCAAATTTGAATGCATGCTTACTATTTATGTGTAGTTGTTAATAGATTCAAAACAAAACAATGGTGAATATTACAGGTGTAAAACATTTGGACATCTTTCCAATCTGTATTTGTAATATCTCCTTTGGAAGAAATATCCACTTCCAACTGTTTATTGTAGCCACCTAAGGGTCTTTCTGTTCTTGCTTTTGAAATGTTTTCTTACTTTTCTTTGCAGAATATTTTAAGTTCAGAAATAGTCATAGGTTTCTTTGCATGCTATGCTTGATTGGGATCTCTTTATACATTTTCAGTAATATTCAATTCTGGGGACTGTGAATGACTTTCTTTCTTGTAAGAATTTAAAGTATGGTTTTGTTTTCTAAGGCCAATAAATCATATCTTTTCTAGTTCAAATTCAAATCTGAATTTATTGGAAGCAAGGGCTGTGGGCCTACTATGCATATTTACAAACACAATGATCAGTCATGAAAACTATTTAAATGTTTATTGAACTGAAAAATGGCAATATACATTTTGAAACTGCTAGAAATTATATAATCCTTTATACAAGATCTACCTTCATATTTAGAAAAAAAAACAAAAAACAACCCCCCCCCCAACTCAGACAGCATTATTTGTCATTGTTGAAGAGATAGCTTTGCTCATTGCCAGTAGGCTTTTTCCTTATATATGTATTGCTGCATACTGAAAGATTATATTGTATATAAGGCATTCTTTGCATAGTTAATGGTGTTTTGAACACGGAGTCTATCAATGTGAATTGGAGGCGAAGTGGTTGCTAACAAATATCTCAAAGCAGAGTGTCCTTATATGAATGAGATTGGGTTGCAAACTATACTATATTAGTGAAAAAAGATATAGAAATGGAAGCTTACCATTTAAAAAATAATTATGTCAAAGCTTCCTACTGTTCCTTAAATAAGCCTGGGGAGGGGGGAGAGGGAATTAGTCTAGAGGAAAACAGTTCTTAAACCTATGTGTCCCAAAGAATGATTGACTAAATAATTTCAAGTATTTCCAAATAATTACGATTTTGTTTCAGAAAGTAACTGGGAATGGATTATGAAGCTTTCCCTCAAAATATAGGAGAGCAACATTTAAAAAAAAATCCAATCTATCAAACAGGAAGTGATTATCAGTAAAACATCAAAATTGATGTCATGACAGAATAGTGACACAACACAAAAAAATGATGTATCTTTAATCTTGTTTAGGAAATGTAAAATTGGTAACCAAAGGGGCATTTTACAATCCATAGCTCACATTTTCAGATTCCATTCTTGGGAACAGGCTTGAAATGTCAAGTAAACAAAAGAATTAGCAAATGAAGTGCTTTTAATCATTGTAATTAAAATTAGTCACAAATTATTATACTAAGACTGCACTCCTATACTCTTATTTAGGAGTATACCCCACTAAATTCAGTAGGACAAACTTCTAAACTTATGTGTATATGATATAGGATTATAGGGTAAATCTTTATTGTTTCTCAGGACTTCCTTCTGTCCAAGATGAAATACTGTTTCATTTCCAAGAGGCCAGAGTCTGTATCATGCAACCAGCCTTCCATCTGTGGGTGGAAGGAACCTTCAGAAGAGTTAATATATTACAGCTCTGTCTTCAAATTTATCTAGAAGGTTTTTTGGTCCAGGACAGAGAGGTGAAAAGGGGTCAACTCTAGCTTGTTCTACCATCCAGACAGAAAACAGGTCCATTGTACAATAACTGATCACTGTTGTCCAGGTTATCTAGTTAATCTTTTTTTCTTTTTCTTTTGTTTGGGGGAGGCTGCAGATATGGAGTACCGAACACAACAAAATCTGCTTGTTTTATTCCCCCAGAGGTGTTACTTTACATCCAAGAACAGAACCCTCACAATGTAGTCTGTTATTTTCTCTAGCCATATAATTCTCCAGACCAGACACCCCAACTTGTTCCAATCTTGATATTACAAGGAATGAATCTGAGGAACTCGGCTTCAGCCAAACAGAAAGTCTTATATTTTGAGGGATACTTTTCGGTTGTGTTTGGGGTTTGGCCCTTTTATTTTTCCTCATAAAATGCCAAAAGATAAGTCTTAGGAAGAGTCTAAGGATAACTTCATATAGTCTTCAGTTCTGCAAAGAGAAACAAGAAGAAAATAAAGAGAATACATTTTAATTGTGTCACCTTGGGTTAGTTATATATTACTAATGCTTTTATTTTTTAATAAGAGAATAAACTCAGTGCAGGGAAGGAGTTTTAAGGAAAGTTTCTAGACCTTTTGGGCATACACAAATAACATAAGGATGTCTCAAGTTTTTTAAGAGGATACTTCATCATTTGCAGCAGGATAGCCTATATGCCCAAGAACATGAGTTACGGTATCTACATCACCTCTCATTTTCCATCAGGAACATTTCACATTTCTTTCTAGCCCTATCAAGTGAAAACTGACAAGGATCTCGTGGACATCTTGTGGCCATTTGGGGAAAGGATAAATACAGAACTGTGTCTGAAGGTAAGTACTACCTTCTTTAACAATCCCATGATTTGTTGCTCAGACTCATGAACCAGCCCTATGGGTTCAGATGTGGGGATTAAAATATGAGCTGTTCTATTTGTCAGAAACCAGTTTCGCCGAGCCCAGAATTGGAACTTGCAATGAATGGGACTGTCATACTGCATAGCTATCAACAAATTCCTTTTTGTACTGGTAGCAAACACTTTCTAAAAATGTATCCAGTCTAGGAATGCTACTTTCATTTTCAATTGTGTGTTTTTGTAAGTCAAATATTAGGTTCATAAATATTAAGAAAACATATGCTTGGTGAGGATCATTTGGTGATGATGTGGATACTTGTAAACCATTTATCATAGACTACTACTGAAATGGCTATTGATTGTACATGACATCCAGTTCTTAAATATCAGGTAATGTATAAAATGTAAATGCTCTACTTTTTAAGTTGCAAAAAGTCTTACTGCTGCACAACCTTTTTTCTCTTTTACGTTGAGGACAGCTGAAGCAATATTTATGAATTAATGACCATCTATAGTTACGCAGCTGGCAGTTGATGAGATTAAAACCTAAAATGGACAATCTGAAGCTCGAGGAGCAGATGAAGCCTTCAAATCTCTCTTCTGCACACACACCCCACCTCCCCACAAATTTTCTCTGTCTATAGTTGCTGTTAATTCCTTAACATTTTGAGGTAGGAAATATGTGGACATGAAAGTATAAGATCTAAAATGAAAGGAAAAACAGGCCACAGACCCAGGGGAAAGATTGGTCCACGTTGATGACAAGCCACTTCTAATCTCTTTGGTCTTTTCCTTTTTCTGCCCAAGAACAGCTATTTCAACAGTTAGAATTGAAGAAGCTTCTTGGGTAAGAAGCAAAACATTTTCAAAGAAAAAAAACCAAGAAAGTCTAGTTGCCTTTTGGAAAAAGCACCGTTGCGATATTTCAATATATAGCTAGTTGCTAAGTTTTATTTTAACAGATGGATATTAAAAAAAAACGAGCCATCCCAGAGTTCCAGCTGTAAGTAATCAGAGATTAGTTCTGTAAAAAAAAGTGGCCAACAAGCTATTCTATACTGTACTGTTCTGATATGCCTGTGCTTATGCTTTAGTTTTAAGTGATATATAGTGTGCTCGTTTACAGTTATATTCTAAATGGCCCATTTTGTAAAGTAACTTTGGGGCAAACAGATTGAGTAACATTTGGAAATTATTATTTTTAAGCTGTCATTAATGTTGTCGTCACAACATTAATAGCTCTGTTAAAGCTTTTCTAACTCCATCTATTTCAGCTGAAATATTTCTTCCCGAGCACATACTATAACATTAGTTGACAATGCAGGGAGAAGGAACTCACTTGCTTTCATATGTTAATTCAACAACACTACAGCAAATCATTGGTATGCCAGGTGGACATCCTAATACTTTAGCCCAAATCTACAGAAATTTTTGGAAGCTTCGGGTCATTATTGTTTACTATTATTGCAACCACAATACCATAATAAAAGCAGCAGAATTCTCTGATTGATTTTGGGCTGAGAGAGGAGGAATATTTTCCTTGGACATGTAAAGTTTATTTCAGATTTAATTTACCAATTTCCCCCCCTAGGTTTGCTGTTAATTTGTTGCTGAATTACCTCAGTGATCTGAAAACCTTCAGGGCTGCAAAAACTATAGTTAGGGGATCATGCATGGCTTGTAGTTTACACCCTATCTACCATCACTCCAAAATGTTTATTTTTGCTAACATACTAACAATTATTATTTAAACCGATGCCTTTATGTTTTACCTGAGAAACTCTAAAATTGCCTGGAGTAATTCTTTGTTATAGAACTGTTTAATATGATGGAATGTTATCTAATTCTTATCATCTCTTTTATGAGGACATACTTGGAAAATACAGGTCAAAGCTGAGAGCTGACTTTCAAACTGAGAGCTTCGAAGGTTACATCTGGAAAACAAATTCATCCAACTTCTTTCAAAATTCCATGAATGAAGCAGGATGGTAAAACTTTCATTCATACAGTCCCATGGCAGATGCTAATTTTCAAATGTCCTGATAGTTTCCTGATTTTGACTCGCCTTTTATCGCTTGCTATCAAAGAACTGCACCCACAACATCTAGCTGCAGGCAGAAAATGGCTGACTATGACAGGGTCAGAAATACGAATAAGGAGACAAATTCCTTGTGTGTCCAATCACACTTGGGCAATAAAGAATTCTATTCTATGAAGTATAGAAGAATATACTGTGAAAACTGCAGGCTAATGAGAACTAGAAGCTGAGCAAAAATGGAAAGCAATCAAGGGCTCAAAGTAGCTTTCCTTGTCATCCACCTCCCCCCCCCATTAAATTCCTGTAGAGTCTTATGGAGATGGTTTTGAGGGGAATGTTCAGCAGCCATCTCTCACACCCAGAAAAAAAGACAGAAGCAATCCTTAAAGTATGGGGGGAAAGGTAACATTTGGAAGAGATAGATTCAGGCTGGCTCTTTCTGGACTCACTAAGTGGGAAGAGAGGAAAAACACAACCAGATTTGCAAGGTTCTGTTAATATAGCTTAATTCTATAAAGTTGACTTCTAATTTTCTTGTTGAATCCGTTTCCTGATCTAGACAACCCCAAAGGCTAGAATCAGGTACAGGCATAAAAAAAACCCAACAAATTTTTATATGTCAAAATATAAAATCGGACTGTACAGTTAAGAAAACTTACTACTGCTTTTGAAAAATAATAGCAATTGTAAAAGCATAGAGCAGTCAGCTACTTTGTAGTCCAAAGCATCTTTTTGATTTGCCAGTTCTTTCCATACATTGTTGCTGAATTTTTCACAAGGTGTTCTGGTGCCCCAAAACCAGATAACTCCTAGAAGAAATACGTCTTGCAGCCAGAAAATATTGGGTGAACCAGATTGCTGATATTTGGGAGATTATAACTGATCTGCTTTTTCTATCCTACTTCTTTAGTAAATAAAATTTACCAAATGTGCATTAGGATATCTGCAGCAATATCCGGGTCTTTCTACTGGTTGGATCAGGTCATTGCTAAAGTAACTCAAAATCACAGTCCAGATGAAATAGCTTGCTGAAGCCTTAGTGAACCTATTGGGCAATGCATGGGATTTCACTATGGCTGGAAGGCACCCAAGTGAAAAAGCTGACTTATGAAAAGTGGTCTGGTCTGGAAATCTTTCATGGGTTAACACGGAGGTCCCCAACCTTTTGGGCACCAGGAACCGGTTCCGTGGAGAGTTTTTCTGCAGACCAGAGGGTGCATGGTTTTGTGTGCTGCCTGCATCTTGTAGATGGGGCTTTGCTTGTTTGTGCAGACTGGTTGCTGGCATGCCACGGCCTGGTACTGGTCCACGGGGGGACCCCTGGTTTAACAGACTGAACAGCATTTAAACTTAATTTGAAGAGTAACATTTCCTACCCTCATACCCTGAAGAGGACAAGGGCAATAACTGAAATTTGACAACAATACCTGTTGCCCCCAATGTGGTTTGACTGCTAATAAACAGTAACTGTAGTCCAAGACATCCAGAAACCCCCAGGCTGGGGAAAGAAACACTTGGCAGTTTTATTGAGTACACCAACTCCCCCAAAGTGTTTGTCCATCCTTCTTGCCCAACCTTCTATCGTGCTGCAGAAGATGAAATGAAAAAAAGGAGCAGAAACTTACCAGCCTCTCTTATCCCAAAGAAGCACCATGCTGGATAGGAAAGCAAAGGAGTGAGAGGAGGAGGAAGGGGGGGGGAGGAGGAGGAGGAGGAGGGGGAGGAGAAGGCAAGTGTAGAGGAGGCAAAGGACATGAAGAGGTGAAGGTATTTATCATCTCAAGGCAACACATAAACACACAGGGTTTCAGCAAGCAAAAATTATGGAGAAGTTAGCAGAAGAGCATGCACTGAAGAGCAGGGTTAGCAGATGCCAAGGGGTAACTGTTCCAAGAGATCCCCACCCTTATGAAGGCTGGTGTTTGGGAAAAGGGAAACTGGAAAAAATTTTGGATGCCTTGATTATTCTTCTGCTCCTTTACCTTATATACAGGAGCTGTTATGAATTTCCAGTCCAAATTTAAGTATAGTTTACATACCGATTTGTTGTAATAAGAAGACAATCTTTTTCTTTTTTAAAGAAAAGAAGAAGCAGACCTCAAATGGAAAACTCTGCCCCCTCTTGCTGTACCTTCTTGGATTTCAGCAAGGGATTATGGACCAATAGCTTTTAATGACAGATGTTGTTCTTTCATTTAGGTGATTTGAGTTTCAGATTGTGGTATCCAATTTGCTGCAAGCTTTTCTCATCGCTGAAGTTTAGATGAAAGGCAAGGACAATTGGAAGAGCATCTCTGTCTTACTTTATATCTCACTCCTCTCCTCATCTGATAAATGAATGCCTATTGGTAAGCAAATATTTGTACATCTTCTCTCCCCCAAATAGCTAACAGAACATGTGATACTGCTATAGCGATCTTCATTCCATACTCCCCATCTCTGGTGGAATGGAAGTAGGAAAGCATGATGACAAGGAAAGTTCCTCCATGCAATATAGAAGGGGAAGAGATCTACAAATGTAATTATATTTCTAAGAAGTACCTAAGCAGGATTTGAGGGTATTAGCCTCTCCCACTGTTAATTCCCAGCATCTAGTCTTCAGATGTATAAATCTCTATCCTGGAGGTAATATGCAAACATAATAATTAGCAACCATTGTTCACTTTCTTTTCTATTAATTTCTAATTTTCCACAAACTTGGAGGGTGTTTTTGCGCTGGATGTTCTGTAACTGGGACACTGAAAGGAATGTGATAAAAGAAGTTTTGCAGCAAATGACTAGAAGTACACATTCGGTTTATAAAAACAGGTTTCCCCTTTCTAAATCTGTTGTATTATTGTTACTTTAGCAACAGGCAGAGCATTTACAAAGTAGGGAACCTTCAGTTCTATAAATGTTGCTGAATTATAACTCCCAATATGTTCCCTTCTCCCATTTGCCCTGGGTAGGTCTAATGAAAATGGTTAAAAAACAAAAACACTTAAAAGGACCACAGGTTCCCCATCCCATAGAATAAATATGTACAAATCTGTTATTATGTTCTCAACTTCAGTAAGGAACAGCAGTTGGGAAGATTTGTCTCCCCTGTTGCTTAAATAATACTAAACACCTTGTATTAATAGCAATAGCAGTTAGACTTCTATACTATTTCACAGAGCTTGGCATCCCTCTCTAAGCAGTTTACAGAGTCAGCCTATTGCCCCTAACAATCTGGGTTCTCATTTTACTGACCTCGGAAAGATGGAAGGCTGAGTCAGCCTTGAGCCAGTCAGGATCGAACTTCTGGTGATGAGCTGAATTAGCCTGCAATACTGCATTCTAGCCACCGCACTACCATGGCTCATAATACCAATTTAATACCAATTTAATCAACAATTTGCCAAATATGCTAGGAAATATACGTTTGATAAATGTTATGAAAGACACAACAAACCACTCCAAAATTACATCTCAAGATTCCTCCGGAAAAGACTAGTTACTAAAAACTGAAGGTGACATGCCCAAATAATGCAATTTAGCAAAAGGGATTTTGTTGGCAATTTCAAGTAAGAAAACATCTTCATCTTATGAGAGCATGCCACTAAGAGGCCTTCCCTAGTGTTGTCTTTCGAGGAAAAATGAAAAATACAACACAGTTAACTAAAAGATTAGAATGGCAAATATGCAGGAAACCATTGTTCAAGCTTCAAAGCGTGCATTAAAATTGTTTTATAAATAAATACATAATACAGGCCCAATTGGAATTAATTGGATGTACATTTGTAGGCCTGGAACTGACTCAATTTGAATTTAACCTGTTTGGAGTGCATTAAATGCCTGCCATTTAATGAAAACCTGCAGCTCGTACCTACAATCTAAATATCAGTTATAGACTTGACTGAATAGGCTGAAGCTGGTGCCTCAGTAGAGAGCTATGAATAACCCTTGGAGCCTCTTTGACTGACTGCTCTCCCTCCCTGTTGTTTTTCTCCCTCTTCATGTTGCCTGATTCCTCAAGGAGTACAAGCAAGCTTGGAGAGCAGCAAAAAAGAAAGAGCAATATCCTCACTTTTTCTGGAAGACCTGCAACTCAAGCAAAGAGCTTTCTCTGTAAGTGGGTAGGGGCAGCATGTTGAGGAAGCAGGACAATTTATTCTGATGCCTATATAACAAACTAAGGAGTATTATTCTCTGGTGTCTGCAAAACCTTTATAAATAGGCTTATAAATACCAGAGGGAACATGGGAGACACTGTACTTTGTAAGGCAAAATATCAAAAATCTACAGGACCATCCATGGTGCTCAACAGATGCTAATTTAAACAAAAGAGATTGAAGCATGTACTTGGATCGATTATGCCACCGATACCTCACAGTAGCTAAGAGCAGGACCTTTACACTGAAAAACAAAACTTTTCTACTAATATCAAGCAAGCCACTCTCTCAGCCTTAGTCTCCTCCATAGAAACCGTGACCTGCGACTGATTTGGACAGACAGTTCCTCCAGGCCCAAAAGTAGAGAACTGCCACCCAGGACTCACTGAATTAGTCAAGTTGCCCAAAGTTCAGGTTTCAAATTGGAGGGACATGTTCCTCCCCTTAGCTAAAGACTGTGAGTGAGGTAATAGATGGGAAAGGCCAGCAGCATATGTTCCACTAGGCAAAAGTGCACCTCTTTTTTCCCGCTGAACTGTGGTGCTCCTGATAAATGAAATGGGGCACAGAGGAGAGGGAGACTTAATTTATTAGTTATGAATAGGGAGAAGGGGAGGAAGTGCAGGGGGAGGGGAAACATGGTCAACTTTAGTTTCCAGTCACATTAGCAGAGGTTATAGGTGGAGCCACTACTTCTAAGAAATATCATCTCCTTACCAAAAAGATTTGCAAGAAATGTTTGTGGCCGAGGACCTAAGGTACTTGCTAGAGGGAGGTGAGGTCAGAGGTCAGCTCAATCCTGCAATATAATAAACGCAGCAAACCTGGGTCACATCAAAATGGCAGCAATGCCAGGCAATGCCCAACAGGAAAAAAGAAAGAAAGGGAGGGTTAGGGTGCACACGTAGGCACATGGCATGAAGAACCAAAGGCTCGAAGGGCGGATGGCATGGCTTTCCTCAGCTGATTCAGTGTAGCTCCTTACCTGAGGGCAGCCTTGCCCAAAGAAACCACAACAAAGGAGGAGGATTTGGAAAAGCCTGAAATGGAAAACTGCTGGTGCCACCACCAGCTCTCCGAGGGAGGGAAAAAGAAAAAAGAAAACAAAACAAAAAAGCTGGCAGAAACAAACACAAGACAGACAGACAAGGTCACAATGACAAGAAACAGAGAAACCGTTAGAAGAAATGCAACAGTCTGCCAGATGCCCATTAGCACAAGAGGTTTGGGGGGGGGGAGGAATTTGCAAACAGCTCTGCACAGGCCAAGGCAGCAAGCATTAAGTAGGGCAGGTGAATCTGGAAAGTGGATAAAGGACACAGGAAACCCTGGTCAATCGTGTAGCTGCAATCAGGGTGTAGGTGGAAAAGGTTGTTACAAACCCTTTCTTTCCTTAGGAAAGTGCTGTCCTAGGGAGTAACTCAGGTTTGTGTCAAGTAAAAGATGAGTTTGGGTTATCTTTAAATACTTGTGTAACAAAGGTCAGGGAATCCTGCTTATTGTTGCAATTGTTCCTCTGCATTTATTTTATTCTACAAAGCCGCTCCAAATGCAATCTATTCTGAGTGACATAGGATTCCTGAGAATGTGCCTGATAAATTAACATTTACACTTGATTTCTCCAGTATGTAATTCTTCAGATGTGTGGGATACAAACCCTTAACGTTCCCAACCAAGATGGCAGATGGAATACATTTGGAGGGCACCACATCAGAGAAGGTTGATCTGCACAATTGTCAAAGCAGGCCCGCATAGCACATAGTGTCTGGAACTGATGCAGAATTGTAGCTTTGCATTTAGTTCCAGAGGGCTCAAAGTGCATTTACTGGTTTGTTGTATAATGAAGTATGTAATTCAAATAATAGTCATATTTGATCAGCTGCCTGTGGTACACAACTGGTAAGTATTGGCATACTGGAGCATGCTGGGCATGACTGACTGCTATAGAGCCACAGCATTACCTAAGTTTTATAGCTATAGCCTCTAAAGGCCCATTGATGCCACTTTTCTCATAGTGCCCAATAGAATCAAATAAATAATCTAATACCCAGGAAGACACTATCTAGTCATAACTAGTCAAACTAGATTCGTCAATAGGCAGAGGAAATTGAGAAAATAAATATGAACCATACCATTCACAAAGCAAAAATGAAGACAGCAATGGTATAATTAGCTAGACTCTCTTTTGCCTGCCAGCGATGCCTCAATTAAAAACTAGCTAATAATTTTGGAAATGATACTGTATTGGTATCAGTAGTAATGATAGGAGTCCAGCATATTAGACTCTGAGAACCGTTGAATATTTGATAATGGAGGAATGCTCCAGGAATCTTGATTTGTTGGACGGCGCAGCCTATAATCCCAGTTTTTACAAAAGTATAATTAAAGGAATGCAACTCATTTGGGATTCATACATGAATGCAAATATGCCATGTGCCCTGAATGTTATGAGTGCAATGGAAGAATGGGAGGTAAATAACACTGTAGTCCGAGATGGCTCACAGTTTTGATGGTGATATACAATAGCCTTAAATAAAATGTATACCAAAATGAACATTGATTGTTCAGAGATGAACCTCCGCAAATAATTAAAGTTTGTGCATTTGTATCTTTGCTGTATTGTTAAATTATTGTAAAACTCTCTCCTAAAGAAGCATTGCACTAACAATGTCTGAAGGCATTTCAACAGAACAGGGAATTAGTATCTCTTTGATCAAAGAGACCATTTGTAAGACATTCAGTGAAGCTGACAAGGTGGCTCCAGGTCTCTTCCTGACCTACAATTCAACAGATAAATGCACTATACCCATACTTTAGGAAAGACTGTTTTTCTTCCACCTGATATATATGGTTGGTATATCATTTGTCTCAGTAGTACACCCTTCTCCAAATTAGGACTGATAAAAGGATTATCTGTATATTTAAACTGAATACATACACTTTTAAAGAAAAAGTTTTCCCCTGCCCGGTCATGTTCAACTCTAGGGGAGAAGTGCCCATCTCTGTTTCCTAGCCAAAGGAGCCAGCACTTTCCGAAGAGGCTTCTGTGATCATGTGGCCAACATGGCTATACGCCAAAGTGCATGGAATGCTGCTACCTTTCCATCAAAGTAGTATCTATATATCTACTTGCATTTTCATGCTTTTGAACTGCTAGGTTGGTAGGAGCTGGGGCTAAAATGGGAGCTCACTCCCTCATGTGGTACTTGGGTCTCAAATTGCCAACTTTCTGGTCAACAAGCCCAACATCTTAACTGCTAGGGCACCATGCCTCCTATACAATATACACATTTAAAACCTGCTAAAGTCACTCACATATTCCCTTGTCTTCTCTACATGGTCACATAATTGCTTAGCCCTGCCAAAAAAATATCCACAGTATAAATGACTAACCACGAGTTTATATTTTTGGGGTTAAGAATTAATGTTTTTTGTTCATGTACATCTTAGATCAAGAACTGGGTAATAGGAGGCACATATGCACTGACGATTTGACGTTCCTAGTTAAACAGGAGGAACACTGGTATAGGCAGCTTCTCATGCTGCAGCCCTGAAGGGTTGACAAAAGCTGCCTTGCCTGAAATTCTACACAGCTATTCAGCAGAAATAAAAACTCATCCATTGAATTTGATCCTTCCTAGTAGAAGTATGCACAACTCATGCCCCAGATTTACAAGTAATCCACCCCCAAATGATAGTAAGATTCCAATTCCTCCCTAGTTTTGACAAATACAGTAATTTTTAATTTAGTATATAAAATTAAATACACAGTAATAATCACACTATGGCTTTGTTTAATTAATTGTATTTAATTTCAATTAACTTTCAAGTAAACCAAATTCAGTTTTGTGTTTCATGCACCCCATTTTTTTACCATGCCCCTTTCCCCATCCACATCATGTTACTCAAGAAATGTGCAGCTTTCTGATCAAAAGAAAGGATCCACAAAGGAACCAAATTATTTGTACTGAAAGCAACCAAATGATACTGAATTTAGTGGCTCATCTAAATCTAAACCGAATAGTTTGATAAAAACTTATTTCCTTAAATGTTCCACAGAACTTTTATTTGCGATGGTCACATTAGATTTGATTACCTATTATGAGTTTATATGTTATTTCAGCTTTTTTCCCCTTATCAGAATATTCTATTCCAAAACATACAATTTTTATAGATTTAGTAGAATTTTCAGCTGAACTCCGACAGATGAAAGAACAATAGTTTTTACTTTTGTATATCCTAATAGTTTAGAAATTTTATTACTGAAGGGCTAAATAATGCAACAATGGAATTGTTGTGAAGAATGTATTTTTAAAATAAAGATTGGGCTTTATGGGGTTGATTAAATTTGCAAGAACATGAACCTCATCTAGTCAGATCATTAATGGATCTCTATTTAGAAACACATTTTTTAGCTCATAGTAAACATAATGGAGCAAAATCTGTAAGCAAATTTTAGCAAAAAACTAAGTAACAATATAAGCCAGAATTGCAAGACCTTTACAAAAGGGAATACAGTATTAAACTATTTTTAAACCAGAAAAACAATGTTCTAAGCACATACTATCAGTATATACTTATTCCTAACTGCACCTGTGCTGCAATTGTACCATACTATTCCTAAACAATTTCTGAGATAACAAATAATTTATTGAATTTACCGTATTTTCCGACGTATAAGATGACTTTCTAAGCATGCAAATCAGCTCCGAAGTCGGGGGTCGTCGTATACGCCGAGTCATCCTATACGCCGGAAATTACGGTATTTCTGAATAGCTAAATGTCTGCAAGTCAGGAAACCATTACAGTTTTCTTAATGGTAAACTGAAATATTTGACCCAGATACTTTTTGGCATTTATGGTGAGTAAAAACAATTTTTGTAAAATGTTAAGATTGGAAGAAATTTTCATTTTTTTTTATGGGGGACATGAAGATTTGTACTTTCATCACTTTAATGTGCTTGGTAATCATAATAAGGACCAAGGCATGGAACTACAAGATTTATGGCAAGTTTTGTTTAAACTGAGCTCACTTAGTGATTTTGGCACCTGATTATCCACTGTAAATCTTGCTAAATCTGTGAAATGAGAAGCAGCCAACAAATCCATTTACAAGGGAGTGGGCAAGATTCTTCATAACTGAGACATCACTCAAGAATTTATCTTTGATTATAAGAAGACTGTACTGGTTCAACAGGGAAAGCTAAAAAAAACCTAAGACCAATTATACTTGATATGACACTGCAACTTAGAGGAAACAAGAGGGGTCAGAATCTTGAGTGATTCTGTTGAATTTAAAGAAAATCCAACTTACCTTTGTTCCTCTTCAAGTTCGTCTTTGGTCATCATTGTTTTATACTGGTTTCCTCTCAGTTTGCCAGGACTATATTTAAAGGGGAACTTTTCATCTGCTACAAGAGAACGAAAGTAGAGAAAGGCTATTTGCTGTGGTAAAGTCCAATGAAATATACCTTAAAAAAATTAAAAAGCTAACATTGGGCATGTTCAAGTGCCATGAAAAATTAATTGTTGGGAGGGAAAGGGGTGAGAAGACATGGAATGGCTGATCAAGTGGGAACAAGAACTCCACTCCTATATTTTGTTGTATAAAGCACCAAAAGGCAAGATGAGAAACAATGGATGGAAATTACTCAAGAAGAGAAGCAATCTAGAACAGTGGTGGCGAACCTATGGCACGGGTGCCACAGGTGGCACTCAGAGCCCTCTCTGTGGGCACGCACACCGTCACCCCAGTCCTAGGACTTCAGCTGGGTTTTATAAAACGTTTTTGCTTTAGGCCTCCACGGCCGTGTGCAAAAAAAAAAAAAAAGGTTCAATCAATCAATTTCAACTTCTTGCGGGAAAAAAAATCTTGCAAAGTTGGAATTGATTGATTGAACTTTTTAGTCCCACCCAGTTTGCCGTTACCACTGCAGCCAGGCCCAGCCAATGGGCCACACCCACCCGGCACCCGACAATGCATAAGTGGGCTTTGGGTTGCAGTTTGGGCACTTGATCTCGAAAAGGTTCGCCATCACTGATCTAGAATTAAGGAGAAATTTTCTAAAGGTGAGAGCAATCAACCAATGGAACAACTTGCCTTCAGAGATTGTGGGTGCTCCATCACTGGAGGCTTTTAAAGAGAAACTGGACAATCATTCATCTGAGACGGCATAGGGTCTCCTGTTCAAGCAGGAGGTTGAACTAGAATACCCCCAAGGTCCCTTCCAACTCTATTATTGTATGATCTATGTTCTAATTAATCAAGTCCAGTCATCTGCAAAGCTCTGTACCATTTCAGCCCAGATTCTCAGAATAGGTTTAGGGTTTATAACTGACCATTTACAACAGTGTTTCTCAACCTTGACAATTTTAAGGCATGTGGACTTCAACTCCCAGAATTCCACAGCCAGCGATGCTGGCTGTGGAATTCTGGGAGTTGAAGTCCACATGCCTTAAAATTGTCAAGGTTGAGAAACACTGATTTACAAAGTTTCTGATTCTCCTAGCATGATTTTGTACAGTTTGATTTATTTTAGGTATCACGTAAAGTCCTTTAATATGCCTCTTTATAGTAGAGTTTTAGGCTGTAAATAATACAGTGTGAGTAATTCCCATTGATTCATTTAGGCCTCAGTACTGAATTGACTTGGATTTTTTTATCATCTGCAAATGGCTTCCACAATTATTTTAATATCACTGTTCTACATTGTTTGAATTTCTAAATGGTAGCTTTGTTTAAGAATCCTGCAGAAATAGCAACAATAAGTTTGTGGTATCTTGAAAATAGGAGTGTATAAAACATTCAAACTTTGAGCTGCTTCATTGTACAAAACAGGCTGTTCCAATCTCATGGGAAGGGTTCCAATCTTAAAATAACTTTTAAAATAATGGTTAGTCAGAACACATCTAGTGAAACGGTAACAATTTGATTCAAGCTTAGAATAGAACTGAAACATAATGTACACCTGTCCTTAAAAACAAACTTTACTGCAGATTTATTAGAGTATTATAGCCCATACAAATGGGCAAGTACATACAAATACCCTATTGTGTGAACAAAGCAATTGTTTGTTAATTTGAGTTTAGGACATAGAACAGGACAACCAATAATTTCTTAGCCTCTTTTTTTGTGGCCTTTAGAACTGAAGGACTACTGAACGAAGATGGTGATTTAGCCATAGAGAAAATGAACAAGGGCAAATATACATGTCCCAACCCAACTGATCCAGATTGGATCTTACAAAATGAACGAGTACTGAATTGTAAAACAAAGAAATTTAAAAAAAAGGTTTGAAGAGGTTTGAGAAAATCATGTTGGATGGAATCTAAAGAGGATTCATAAAAAGACAAAAAGAAGCAGCCATGGAGTCCCATTAACTACACATGAAATGGAAGTTCTAGGCGTCTATAAGCCTTAGAAATAGAAACTATATTCCAAGATCTAAATTGTATCTCCTGGCAGAATGAACTATGAATATGGCATACTTATCCATTATTTGAATAAGCCATTATTGAGTTCTTACAATGTACTAAGCTAGAATATATAAAATACAATGGCTGGATTTTATACAATGTGGTAAAGGCAAAACAGAACAAAGGAGATTATGGTTTGTTTTGAGTTGTGAAGTAGGCACATCATAATTAGGTTGCAAAAATCTAGATGACCACTAAATGGGTGCAGATACAATTGACTATTGCTTTGGTGTCATAGTATAGTTATTGAAACCTTTGCAGCCCATACATAGTACAATTACTACGAATGGAGGCATTTTGACTTTGACTTACAGGAGCTGCAGTCTAATACACCTTGAAAGCACCAGTTGAGGAAGGCTGATACAAATGAAATGGATACTAAAATGTCAGATGGAATTCAACTGTATCTGATTTGGGCTGGGGAAGAATCATGTCTCTAGGACTCAGATGAATGAGGGCAGTAGCTGTATCAAAGTGCTGATCGTTTTCCATCTGTCATCCCAGCAACTAATTTTAACACAAAATTAAAATACAATCCACTTGTAGAGCAATCAGTCAACATGGAAACAATTTAAATTGCTCCATACCCTTTTAAATGTATTGAATAGGTTATAGGCCTCTTGCAAAGCCTGTTTCTAATTTAACTCCATGATTCTCTTTCTCTTTTAATATAATATGAAAGCTCCCATCTATTAACATCACAATCCCCCTTCTACATTTTGTGCAAAGCTGAAATTATCCTTCAAGGGCATACATTTTACTAAGTTTATTTGATGTGCTCTTCAGAGCTGGTGAAGGAAAGGGAAATATGCATTCAGGTCTTGCCTCCATCTAAGTTTCAGAACCTCATTACAAAGTCTGGACTTGGTGTATGTGTAATGGGAGTGAAATGACCTACTTTAAACAAAGCATCTGGAAAGAGACATTTTTAAAGACATACCTACCCTCCATTCATTAAAAGCCTGCAAGAAGATACATCATTCTTTCAAAGATCATTTCCTTGCAGCCATTTTTTCAATAAAGAGCTTCAGTTGAAAGACTTTTTACTCATTGCACCTTATGCTATTATGCCTAGTTACTCAGAAGTAAGCCCAATTAAATGAACAGCACTGATGCAGACTGTTCTATAATTTAAATACAATTAAGTATGTAGCTATAGCTGTGATTTTCTAAAAAAAAACAAAAAAAGGCTTCATTCCCATTTTAAAAATTAAAACTAACAAATTAAAAAAAGAAAAATCAGGCCACATACTTTAAAGGCAAAAATAATAGACAGATTCATTTAAAACAGATGCTTACTATTGTGGCTCCTGCAGAAATAGACATAAAATGAATTAAGGAAACAACATTTGCTATCTCACCTTTTAAAATCCATGTGACAGCTAAAGACCTCACTTTCCTTGTCTCACCTTTGAACGTGTCTGAATTATGTAACTCCTCACTTGGGGAATACATCAGCTGATACAGCTATAAGGGTAGAGTCCAAAGATTTGATAGGATGTCCAGAAAACAAAGCCCCTGAACACCTGTTCCCTCCACTACTTCACACCATCAATATCACTTCATTTATCCTTTGAATTGGATAAATTATCTAATGCTGAGCTCTGATAATCAAAATTAGATGTTCTTTGTTTCCTTTTCATTTAGCAATTCATTGCACCTCAAGTAATCAGTTCCAACTGTAGTCTTTGGAATCACATCTTGCTAAACACTATGTAGAAGTGGTAACAGAAGAGAGTATTTGAGCTTAGGGTTGAACTTGGGAATCCTTGGTGTTCTTTGAGCTTGATTGTTTGCTTGCAGACATTTCCTTACCCAGCTAGGTAACTTCATCAGCAGGGGTGGATGTGGAGTTTGTTCCCTGTTTATGTACTGTAGCTTGCCTAACTTGTGTAGGTGGGATGTGTGGTTTTCTCCTTGATAGTTCCTTGATTAGGATATTGTTTAATTGTTTGTCTGGTGTTAAATCCTTGCTTACAGTATCTGGGTGTTGGCTGCTAAAGCTTTTTTAATTGATTCTTTTGAATGCTGTGTGAATGTGGTTTATCTCTATATTTCTACTGATGGCTGATTTGTTTGAAGCCAAGCTTCCAAGAATTCCCTAACAGTACTGGATTTAGCTTGTCAGTAAGATGTCAGTTTCCCAATTGAAAGCATGGTTGAATTTGTCCAGTGTTGTGAGATTAACGTCTTCTGAATTTTAGATGATTTCATGGATGCCTTCTGCTAGTCTCCTGCTTATCTGTTCTACTTAGAGCAGCGGTTCTCAACCTATGGGTCGTGACCCCATTTGGGGTCGATCGACCATTTCACGGGGGTCGCCAAGCAAGGCTGTCCACCATTTTTTTCCCCTTTTCCGGCGGGTGCCTTACCTCCCTTGGGCTGGGCCAGCTGGTGGCCCAGCCAGTGGTCGGCTTGCTCTGTCTCTGCCGCTTGCCAGCTACGCCTCAGCCGGCGCAGGGGGCAGCACCACGCATGCACGGCGCTCCTGGGCAGGGAAAGTCCTCGACTTACGACCGGTTGGGTAGTCCTCGACTTACGACTGGTTTAGTCCTCGACTTATGACCGATTGGGGGTTGCAGCATTAAAAAGGTTGAGAACCACTGACTTAGAGGCTATTATAGTCTTTACACTGTATGTTATAGATCACTCTTGTTTGCTTTCTTTTTGGGACTACTGGATCTTCTGGTTTACTTAAGATGTTTTAGAGGGCTTTAGTTGATTTGAGTGCTATGGTGATGCCATGGGTTTGTAACAGTCTGCTGGTTGTTTCTGAGATGTTTTTGATTTATGTCAGTGTTAACTTTTTCATAGCTTGCATTGATTGTACTGTAGTGGGTTGAGTGGTCAGGCATTTTTGAAAGTTGCAGGAATATCGATTTTGTTGGAAGATTTTGCATAGGTAGTCTGTTACCTTTTTCTGGTGTTCCTTGTAAGGGATTAACATCAGACAAACAATCAAGTAGAAAACAATACGCTAATAAATACCCTAGCAACACTGGCAGGGCAAGCTACTGCATATAAATAGGGATCAAAGCCTGCACTCACTTGCACTGATGTTGTTACCTAGACAGGTAATAAAATATCTGCAAGCAAATAATCAGGCTCAAAAAATAGCAGCAATTCCACAGAAGTGTAAATTTTGGGAAATTGCAATTCTCACATCTGCAGGCCAGGGATCTCTAGAGGCCAGGGGTGGGCAACCTTGGCTCTTTTATGACTCGTGGACTTCAACTCCCAGAATTCCTGAGCCAGCCTGGGAGTTGAAATCCATGAGTCATAAAAGAGCCACGGTTGTCTATCCCTGGTCTCTAGACAATCAGCCTCCTCAATTCTGGAATCTACCAGGAATCTGCTGAACTACTGAGTTCTGACTCATTTTTTTTCTAAATTAAAGGTTGAAAAGGTATAATTTAGTAAGTGTGGTTTTTCTGGGGAAAGGAATGTGGCTCAGTAGCAGAGCGAATATTTTGCATGCATGGCTGAATATCCTGTTATATTTGCCAAGTTATTAGAAAGGCTGGATCTCATAGCAAACAATAGAAATGCCTTTGCTGAAAACCCTGGAATTAGCCCATGGAAACAATTCTGGGCCACAAGATAAGCAACTGATTTCTTCCAAATGCCATATATGGATGCTTTTATCTTATTTAGAAAAATGATCTTGCACTTTTTCTTGCTACATATGAACACTTTCCTGGCTTGGAAATGAGAAATATTACTTTGCTCCTGGGTATCAGAATGAGAATTAAGATAGATGAAGATGGTCAGTGAGCAATATGGCCATTTTTTCTTCCCTGTAAGATGGTCTTGCTATGTGAACTGAAGCGTAGCCTGTGTTCCTCCTCCTCTATAAAACAGAGAATAGATATGACGGGATGTGGATGAAGGACCATTTAGAAGCGTTAGAACTGTAATCTGCCTGAGCCAGTATGTTTACAGCCTTAAAATATTGCAGGAAGTGGGACAAGGAAGTATAGTTCCTATCTGTATTCTTCCACCTCTTTCTGGGGGAACCCCTCCCTCCACATTTACAATATAATAATTTATCAATCTTTCCAGTTAGGGGTTAGAAATCTGTTTCAAATGATTGGCTTGCACTGAGGACTTTTGGTTCATAGCATGAAGCTTACAGGTCAGGTCCAGCAGAATAAGAGAATTGCCCCACTCATCTGGTGATGGCTGCAACAGGTAGAATGTAGCACACTGGGTATCACACACAACTGGCCCTGAATTCTTAAATTAGGTTATTGCTTCAAATATGATGTGTATACAACATAGAAGTGGGTTTGATTGCCCATCTGGCAGGCTTCTGAGTACAGCAGACTGAGGAGGAACTCTCTCATCCTTTTGTTGAACACCCCTGGTCATAAGTGCATGATATATGATTCCTTTACTGATGAACATGGCTGTATGCATCACCTCTGGCTCTCCTTACGAAACTGTATCTGCCCAATCTTCTAACTGAGAGATCATAGATCAAACTGGGGCAGTTTTGTGACTATGCTTTATAAATTGACTCCTGTTTCCAGGACAGTGTCCCGCCATTTTTGTTATGAGCCTCTATCTTTCTCTTCCTCTTTTCATTTATAGTTCCTTATTCCTTGCCCTTTGCTGTCTTATTCAAAAGTTGTGACCTTTGGCATTCTATGGGTATACTTATGTATCCTTTCCTCTTTCTTTCAGGGGGAATTTAAAATTAGGGATCTGTGAACATTTTGTTCTCCTTTCCATCTATAGTTGGCAACCAGAAGCCTAATGCTTAAGGTACAGAGGCTTCATAAAGTCGATATGGTGTCAAGGTGAAGGCTCCTATGCTAGGCATACAATATCCTTGTGTTTGGGGACTATTTGAAACATAACATTTCTTCCCCTCTCCAATGGGCTAAATTGAGACTGTTATTTTCATAACTAGCGGTAAGACATCCCCGAATCTTTCTCACACATCTGGGGTGACGCTGAGATATCTGCTCCAACCATGGAGATTTCACTTCACTCTTCATCAGCTAAATGAAATATTTATACTGTGCCTGATTTCTCGTCATTCTTCATTCTTTCTACTAATTTCTACAATAATTTTAGAATTATATGTGCACTTTTATGTTTCCTCTTTCTCATAAAATAGTGGCAGCTTAGGTAGAAAGAGGATCCTTCTCATATCCTTTTTGGTCAACCGATTCTGTTCATCAAAAAGCAGAACTAGTTGAAAGCCACACACTGTCTCCCTCTGAAATTGGCAGTCCATCCTTCTTACGTGAATCCATTGACCTCTTCTAAGCTCAATTTGTTTCAGTCAGCTTGCTGCTTCAATAGTGCTTGCGCTGCCTGTTGTTCTTGAAAGAAATTCATTGCGCTAGGAACTGACCCTTGTCGGGAGGTTGTAGGTAAAAATCTTGGGTGTCTCCCATAAAATGCTTAGAAAGAAGTCATAACAATTAAGGAATGCACAGAACTGTTATATGTATTCCTGAGATCCAGCTTTGTAAATATGCGAGCCTTCTGCAACTTATCTAGTAGATTCAATATTAGAGGAAGTGGATAATGATCCTGGACTGTGATCTTGTTGAGGTAATCATGGACTGTGCACGTGGGATCTTCCCCTTCTGGGCTTTGAGCCCCAGTTGCTTGTGAATCTGGCTGCTTCTTAGGAATGAAAAAGATAGGTGTAGAAGATCATGATTTTATTGGCCTAATAAACCCTTCTTCAGATTAATATCTATATACTGTTACAACATCGCTAACTCCTTGGTTGACATTGGATGCTGCCTCTTAGCTGGGATCTTTGCCCTTGGATTCAAATCAATAATACAATCACAGTCTCTATGCAATGGAAGAGCTGAGGCTTCCTCTTCTCCAAATACACCTGCAAAATCAGCCTAGTTGGCTGGCAACTGTAGACTCCCTGCTTAGAGTCTAATAAGGTGGGAATCCTTATTGTTTGCACTCTATGATGTTGGCAATCTGGAGAGGGAAAGGAGAAGGTTCCCTTCTCTCAATCCACTGAAGGGTTATGAAGCCTTAGCCACATTGATCCCAATACAACTGAAATTGTGAATTTTGTGTGATGTGAAGAGGTAAAAGCTCTTTGTGCTCCCCAACAGTTACCAATAAGCGAACTGTAGACTGCTTGATGGGACCCTCCCATAATGATTGTCCAACTATAGTCTCAACTTCCATGAATCTTGGCAAATCCACTATAGGCAGCTACAATCTCCTTAAAGATTCTAGATATATAAAGTTTGTGGTTGCTCCTTAATCAATAAGAGCCTCCAGCAGTTCCTCAAGCCCTGATGCTAAGAATAACGTGATGAGGGGGTAATGAAAATGCATATTGATTACCTTATATTTGAGCCCTTCTTAGTTGTTGGATGGCCCCTCCTGCAAGCTCTTGTGAGGGAGAGTGCTGGAGCAAACAAGCATTTCTTGGCATCTTGACCAGAGGCCCTATTTCCTCCCTATAGGTCTCTGGCTGAGCATCCTCTGACCTGAGCACCCTTTGACCTCCACATTAAAATAAGGATCTTGATCCTGTTACCTCTGCCTCTTCTTGAAGAAAACTGCTCTCTTAACTGCCTCTAACTGCATTGACTCTGCCACTCATGGGTCTGACTATGTGAATTGTTAGGGAAGGCCTGCCTTTGCCCTCTTGCTGTCTACCAGGCATTCTAAGCTTCACTGTCTCTTTGCCCTCTGAGAACAGTCCCTCCTTCCTGTGACTCCATTCCACTACAGAGTAGCGTTAAACCTATGTTTGAAAGAAGCCAAACCATCAAATGATATCAGTTACTATCTTGGCTCCCTCTTAATACAATCCCCTCCAAGCATGAGAGGAAACAGAACAAATTATCAGTTGGCCAAATCTACTATTTTAGTCCTCAGCCAAAACCTGCCTTCTCCCATCTCAGCCACATTCTAGGAATTTGAGAGCGATTGATGGATGTTCTTCTACCACCTGTAACAATCAGTTGACGGAAAAGTGAAGCTATTTCCTTCATTTGTTCCACAGTAAAAGTATAAGGCAGGGGTCTTCAAACTTGGCCCTTTTATGACTTGTGGACTTCAACTCCCAGAATTCCTTAGCCAGTGTGCCTGACTGAGGAATTCTGGGAGTTGAAGTCCACAAGTCATAAAAGGGCCAAGTTTGAAGACCCCTAGTGTAAGGAGAACATCACTAACTGGTCTTATCATTGAGGCAGGGTTGGAATCAGCATGAAGACTTTGTAATTTATGCAAGCATGACTTAATCTTTCACCAGATTAAGGAATGGAGGAAGCACTTTAACACTTCCTTCGAGAAAAAGTCTATACTAGTGTTGCATTCTTCTTAAAATTGAGAATGTATCCGCTCTTAAGTTCATGCTACATAATTCAAGTCCAAATATGAAGGTTGTTTTTCTAGGTTTTTTTCCCATCATGCATTCTCTAAATGAATGGGTGGATTAAGGAATGACAAAAAATGGCTCTTTTTTTCTTCCAATCTTCATTAATAACACTTAAATATCAGGGCTTACCTTGGGTGTCTCCCATACATTCTTAGAAAGGGCACTGATAACAATTAAGGAATGCATAGAATTGTTATATGAATTCATGAGATCCGGTTTTGTAAACATGCAAGTCTTCTGCAATGTATTTAGTAGATTCAATATTAGAGGAAGTGGATAATGATCCTGGACTGTGATCTTGTTAAGGTCTTTCTAATTGTGGACTGTGCTTATTTGTGTTAATTGTCATCTCCCATGTCTGACAACATTCTAGATATTACAAAAACCAAAACTTACCATCTTCAGGTTCCTTTACCACTAGCTTCTCATTTTCTGATTCTTGATCTTCCTCCTGAAAGAGAAACATTAAACTATTGCTTAGCTATTGGGAAGAAAACCTCCCTGCAAACCAATCCAATCCATTTAGAACATCATGGGGGTACCTTGCTCAATAGTAGTAACTGTGAGAGAGATCTCGGAGTCCTAGTGGACAATCACTTAAATATGAGCCAGCAATGTGCTGCAGCTACCAAAAAGGCCAACACAGTGCTGAGCTGCATTAACAGAGGGATAGAATCAAGATCATGTGAAATATTAATACCACTTTACAATGCCTTGGTAAGGTCACACTTGGAATACTGCATCCAGTTTTGGTCACCGTGATGTAAAAAAGATGTTGAGACTCTAGAAAGAGTACAGAGAAGAGCAACAAAGATGATTAGGGGACTGGAGGTTAAAACATATAAGGAACGGTTGCTGGAATTGAGTATGTCTAATTTAATGAAGGCAGTGTTCCAATATCTCAGGGGCTGCCACAAAGAAGAGGGAGTCAAGCTATTTTCCAGAGCACCTGAAGGCAGGACAAGAAGCAACGGGTGGAAACTAACCAAAGAGAGAAGCAACCTAGAACTAAGGAGAAACTTCCTGACAGTTAGAACAATTAACCAGTGGAACAACCTGCCTCCAGAAGCGGTGAATGTGCCAACACTGGAAGTTTTTAAGAAGAAACTGGATAGCCATTTGTCCAAAATGGTATAGGGTTGCCTGCCTGAGCAGGGAGTTGGACTAGATGACCTCCAAAGCCTCTTCCAACTTTATCATTATCATTATTATTATCATCACCCGAAATTATGGAAATTTTAAGTTGGAACTCAAGAAAGGATCCCACAATAAATAACTCTTGTTTAAAGAAACTCTGAATTTGCCTACATTTCCCCCCAGATGTTCTTGTGGACAAGAGAAGCGGACAGCTGTAATGTCTATTTATGCTTCTTCTGAATTTATGCTTCTTTTGAACATATTTTTTTAAAAGAAGAGGACTCTAAGGGTAAATATTTAATTCTGCCGTATTTTCACACCCTTGCTGGCTGACATATACATTCTTTTTCTTTCTCAAATTGTCCTGCTTCCCATCTGCTGTTATTATATAATACATGTATCAACCTTTGCTCTTCGATTCTTAGTCCCACCTTTTCTACTCTGGGTTGTTTTGACCAGGCTTTTCCATTTAAATGTATATACATCCCCCCTCCCCATACATATACTGTACTCACATGCTTCAGGAATTTAGGATTACTTCTATTTCCCCCCCTCAACAATAACAATCATTTGCAGGGGGAGACCAAGGTAGCATTGTGAACACTCAGGTGCTCGTGAGCATAAACTATCTAGAAGAACTTCCCTGTCTGTCTACACTGACATGCTACTAGTGCATAAGGCAGTGCATTAGAACCAGGCTGGGGTCCAAAATTCATGATATGGAGACTAAAGGAAGCTGGTCACAATCTGGTCAGTTCTGGCAACAAAACAACCCAGATAGCCCCTGGGTTATTTTTGGAATTCCATGGAAGAATGGTAAGCAAACGATAATAATCTGATTAAGCTTCTCCAATCTGTCCCCCTCCAGCTGTTTGGGTCCAAACCTCCCAGAGCTGGAGCCAGCCAGCAAATGGGGCAATCAATAATACTTAATGCCCACTAAAACTACTCCATTGGTTGGATTTGCTTGGCTCTAAACTATCTTCACTAGTTGTTTATTTATGCAACCTAAAAAAAATATGCTTTAAAATTCTATGGGCATGATTAATAACTTCAAAAAGAATGAAAGCGGGGGAAAGAAAATCAGCTTTTGAACACCCTGGAAACTGAGGCACTTTGCAATTTTGTATTTATGCTGCAATTCACAATTACATTGATTTTTTTTTTAAAAATTCCCTGCCTTATTTTTAGTTATTCTGGTTATTTCACATTACACAGATAATTATTTCACATTACGCAAGACAGTTATGAAGGCAAGGGCCATAATTAGGGTTGGGTCAAATGAAGATTACATGCTGAAGATGGAGATTGGTTTAATAACTGCAGGGAAAGATTCTTCTCTGACATTTTGGAATGGAGCAATGGCTCCCTCGTGGCATCAAATTGTCTTCCACCATCCTCTGAATAGCTGGGATTCTATTATGAAGCATCTCTTCCCCTCTCCTAGATGAGTGATGGTGAACCTATGACACACACATCAAAGATGACATGCCGCACTGTTTTGGGTGACACACCAGATTTACTAGCACCAAACAACTCTTCTTGAAAGCATGCCCTTTTTCGAGTGATTTTTGGAGGCTGGGGAGGCTGTGTGAGAATGGGGTGTGTTCTCACACGGCATTCAAACCCTCTGGAACTCGTACAAGAGGGCTGCACAAAGAGTACGGAGCACCCAAAAATCATGCAAGAATAGAGTTTGAGGGTGAAGGTTTGTCCTCCGAGCTTGTGGGTTGGTCTCCGAACATTTCGTTACCAGGCTAACAACTTCAGCGGCATTTAGGGGATGCAAGTGTCAGTGCTCTTCTGTGTATAAGAGCGTTAGGTGTGGGTGTGTCAAGTGAGGGTCTTGTGATGGGTCAGATGTGAGTCATCAGAGAGAGGCTTTTGATGGGTCTTGTGATGGGGAGGTTACTTCAGGTTAGGGCCATTGGAAGGTGAACTGCTGAGGGGGGAGAGGGGGCTTGCCTGGGTTGGAGCTGACTCTGGCTGGCCGTGCAGTTGATTTGGATTCTGAGGGGGTTCATAGGCTGGTTGTAGGTCAATGTGTCTGTTGAGGGAATTGCTTGTGGAGTGACAGACTTCGATAAACTCACGAGTGTGGCGGGTGGTAGCGTGGCCGATGATTTTAGTGTTGCTCCAATCAAATTGGTGTTGTTTGGTGTCGGTGTGGTTAGAGTAAGGATTTGGGATCGTGGCGTTTGACTGCTAGCCAGTATTCATGGATCCTGGTTTTAATTGATGTAATGTCAATTAAAAGCATGTTTTCTTTCATGGGGTGTTTGAAGGCTACGGAGGCCATAGAAGAGCATTCTCCAAAGTTCTTGGGCAACCCAGAGGAACCTTGGGTAGGCCTCAGAGGCCTGTCAACAGAAAGAGGACACCGCCTGAAGAAAAGTGGCACATGGTAGGTCCTGGGGGATCACACACATTGATTGGACTGTACTTTTTAAAATAAATATGTAAAGAATCGTTCCTCTTTTGTTTGGCAGTGTGTGTATGTGAGACATACCAGCAGAGTCAAGTTAGGCATTTTCTGAATTGTTGGCACATCAAGTCAAAAGCTTCACCCATCGCTGTCTTAGGTATTTCCAAACCCGTTTGAAATCTTTGGCTATCAGAACAAGCAAATAAAGGCACAAAAGTCCCTCAATGATTGGGTGGTTTGAAGAAATAAATAAGGGAGAAAGGAAAACAATATGAGCCTTCCAAGCTGATGCTGAAGTGAAAGAAAAAGGAGAAATGATCTGTTTCCCTTTCCTTGTTTAATATATTACTCTAGATATGCCCCAGAGCTATAGGGGCAACACCAGCTCTCAGAATAATTTTTGAGCTGGACAGAGCTTCATATCTTTCTTAAGATGACAAGACTGTCTCTTCATAGTGATCTCTAAAAAAAAAAAGAGAACTATATAAGTAAGAGACGGAAACTAGATATCACAGGATTCTTTAGGAAATGCTTCAACCATTTTAATTCAAGGTCTACTTGCAAATGGCTCCAAGTTTACAATTAGAGTATCTCAGCAGCCCAATCTATTCATTTTTTTAATACTTAACACAAAACACATAGGTAGGGGCATGTATGCACACATACGGATTCACTTTTTCATTGGTACCTAAGTGCCACATAGCAAAATAATAAGGCAGCAAGTTGTACTCATTTTTTCTGTGACCCTGGAAAAAAGAGGAGCAGTCACTCAGATTCCAGATGACGGGTGGGCCTGCTTCTTTCCCAACACCTTGAATTTCCCTGGTTGGGTTCAGTGGGGCCTGACAGCTTCCAGCAGTTCCTATATTTGTACAGGAGGGCGTCCACAGTGAGGGCCACCAGAGGAGACTGTCACTTCCAGTTAAGAGGACAAAATCAAGATGAAAAAGAAACTAAAAGCAGAAGGGAAGGGCCCTGCTGTTATCAAGATGCGACAAAACAGACATATTCTTTGCATCAAATGTCTTGGGAATTTAGAAAGTGGTTTAATAAAAACCAGGGATCTGTTTCTCCCCAGCTCAGAAATCAGCATTCAATGCTCCCCAACTCACCAAATCCAGCATCATTACTACCTATATACTGTACACGTATCTATTTTAATCAACATTTTCAAAAACAGAAACTCTTTTTGCTTCTTCATTCACTTCTTATGAAGCCCTATTTGGGGGAAACAAAGTGTAACCCTCCCCTAGCTGCCTTTGTTCAGAAGACGTGCATTACAACTCCTATGATTTCTCCTCACTACAGTCAGTGCCTTTCCTGGGAGCAATAATTGGGGAGAGGCTCCACATTGGGAAATGTGGGTTGCTTTGTACTGAGTTGAGCTCAATTCTGTCACAATCTCTCTAGTTCAAGGCTACAGCCTTTCCATCCTTACCTGGAGGTGGCAGTGATTGACAGTGGGCTTTTTTGCATGTAAGTCACCCAGGCTATTCCTGAGCTAGAATGAAAATTACCAGGGGAGAAGTTTCAGATGGGTTCTTGTTATTATGCATACCTATTTTTTATTTATTGAATTTATATGGTTTATATGACCACCCACTCACCTTCAGTGACTTCTAGGCAGCTTACAAAGAATAAAAACTCAATATCCAAAGAATAAAAGAGTACCTAGGTCAGTGGTTCTCAACCTTTTTGATGCCGTGACCCCCAACCGGTCGTAAGTCGAGGACTACTCAACTGGTCGTAAGTCGAGGACTACTTGCAGAATGGGACTTTTGGCGGGCTCAGCAGGGCAGAGACAGCCTGGACAATTCCTATTGGCTTTTGAAAGCCAATAGAATTAGGCTCTATTCAAGAGAGTCTATTCTATTGGCTTTCAAAAGCCA